GGGAGGAAAGTTTGGTGGCAGCAACTTCGGCGGAGGCCGCGGAAGTGGCGGTTACGGCAGCGACGACAAGAGCTACGGTCGCGGTCGCGGACGATTTGACGGCGAATGTCACTATTGCGGCAAGAGCGAACACATGTGGCGCGATTGCTACAAGCTCCCTGATGGTTGGACCCCTGCTCAAGGCCAAGAGGGTAGAGAACCAGGAGGAGGGAGAGGAAGAAGCCGTGGAGGCCGTGGCAGTCGCGGAGGTGGAACCGCGAAAAAGAAGAGTGGAGATAAAGACAACAACCCGAGGGACGATCGGTACCCGGGTCTATTCTACTTCGTGTCGACGCAAGTACCGACTGGTCCAGAGAAGGACGAAGGCTTTGAGGAACCAGCAGCTGTGGGGAAGGTGACCCTACACCCGCTTGACTAGTGGGTGATTGACAGCGGTGCTACCTATAGCATGACACCTCGCCTGGACTTGCTCGCCGCAAGGCTTGGCGAGCGGATTCTATGGGACCTTCACGAGGACAGGGATGTCTACAACGAGATGTGGCAGATCCCTGTGGTCCCCATGCCTAAGGAGAGGGAAGTGGCAGCAAGCGTCAGCACCAAGAGTGAAGCGGTTGGTAGTGGTGATGGTGCGAACGGTTGCGCTAAGGAGAACGAGTCCAAGAAGAGCAATCTTGGAGGGACCAGCAAGCTTGGTGAACCTAAGGAGAGTGGTGCAACAGCCAAGAAGCAGCAAAAGGGTAAGGAGAACCCCGAGGCAGAAGCGGAGAAGGAGTACGGAGAGAGCATGTGGGGCGCTATTGCGAGCGCGACATTCTCCAATCCGACTTCGCCTACGGGGGAGTGTGATTGGCTTACCTTGCATCGGCGAATGGGGCATGTGACCTTGCCTAACTTGCAGCAGCTAGTGAAGAATGAGATGGTTGCTCGCATACGTGTGAAGGGGGAGCCCGATGAGGTGCTTGGCTGCCCGACGTGCATTCAAGCCAAGTTCACCCGTTTCCCGTTCTCTAGTTCGGAGGCGACGGCTAAGGCACCACTTGATGAGGTGATGATGGACGTGGTGGCCCCCCTGAAGCTTGGAGCTGCTGGTGCAGAGTACTTCCTCACCATTGTGGACGTCTACACCCGTATGACCTGGGTGTATGTGCTGGCCAAGAAGAGCGACGTGGCTGAAACGTTGAAGACGGATTGGTTCCCGATGGTGGAGCGGCAACAAGACCGTCTAGTCGAGTCAATCCGCAACGATCGTGGGGGAGAGTTCCTGAGCAAGGAGTTTGGGTTGTGGCTGAAGAAGAATGGCATTCGGCACTCCCTCACCATGCCATACTCCCCTGCAAAGAACGGCATCGCCGAGCGAGCGAACTGGACGATCACGGAGGCGGCACGCAGGTTGCTCATTGAAGCCAGGCTACCCGACTACTTCTGGCCTGATGCGGTGTGGAGCGCGTGTGTGGCCAAGAACAGAGTTTTGACTCATGTGGGAGCAGACAAATGGGTGCCCTATGTGGAGTGGCTTGGAAGAAAACCAAAGGTGGATATGCTTCGGGTGTTCGGGTGCATGTGCATGGCGCTCGTGCCTAAGCATCCTCGGCACAACAAGCTTGGTGCCAAGGCGGTGTGGGCCGTGCACTTGGGCATGGCTCAAAATAGCAAGGGATGGCTTCTTTGGGACCCATTCACCAAGAAGTTCATGGTGAGCTGGGACTGCAAGTTCATGGAGAACTTCATGTACAAGGATTGGAAAGCGGAGAATGAGGCGAAGATACGCGTACGGTTTGGGGAGGTGAAGAGTTCCGAGTTGGAGCATGTGGAGCTGCCTTTGGAGCTGAGCAACGGCAGCACTACCACAAGACAATCCTCCCTTGTAAATGGGGGAGAGGAGGCCAGGGATGCAGAGGAAGAAGAGGAGGAAGTGCAGCAAGTGAGCGAGCATGCACCAACACTTCCTTCCCGCACTACGAGCACTCCACGGAACCGAGCCACACCGCAGCAACGCCAAGGCCTTCAAGTCCCTGCAGCTAAGGAGGAAGGAAGGGGTAAGAGGAGAGTTCAACCCCCTAATAGGCTGACCTATGATGCGCCGGGAAAGCAGGGCAAGACAGCCCTGGCCAGAGCGGCAATGATGGTCGGAGACGACGAGGAGAGTGACTACGAGGAGTGTGCTTTCGCCTTCTTCTCTCCGGTGGAGATGCCGGGAGAACCAGAAAGTCTCAAGGAGGCCTTGGAGAGTAGTGATGCTGAGGAATGGAAGAAGGCAATGGAGAGTGAGCTGAAGAGCATCGAGGAGAACGACACGTTTGAGTTGGTGGAGCTACCGGAGGGGCGTAAGGCGATTACGTCCAAGTGGCTCTTCAAGATCAAGTCTGACGCCGACGGCAAGATCGAGCGCTACAAGGCTAGGCTGGTGGCCAAGGGGTACCAGCAGAAGGAGAAGGTGGACTTCATGGAGCTGTTTGCCCCTGTGGTGAAGCCGACGACGCTACGAACCCTATTCGCGGGAGCCGCCATCAAAGGATGGGTGGTAAAGCAAATGGACATCAAACGGCATTCCTTAACGGCATCCTTGAGGAGGAGATTTGGCGCAGCCAGAGGGGTTTGATGATGGTAGCAGCAGAGTGTGAAAGCTGAAGAAGGCCCTCTATGGGCTGAAGCAGGCCCCTAGGCAATGGTACATGAAGCTGCGCGAAGTGTTGGAGGAGATCGGCTTCACTCCCTCAACGGCCGATCACTCCTTGTTCATGCTTGGCGAGGGGGAGCAGAGGAGCTTCATGGTGGTTTATGTGGATAACATTCTCATCTTCTCGCCCTCCTCTGACCTTGTGAAGGAGGTGATGCTGAAGCTGCAATACAAGTTCAAGTGCAAATCCCTTGGTGACGTGAACTTTTACCTTGGGCTCCACATCGAACGAGACGTGGAGAAGCGGAGCATGCGAGTGCACCAACGGAAGTACCTGGAGGCGTTGGCTGCCAACTTTGGCCAGAGTGAAGGTCATGTGGCTACTCCCTTTCCTTCTGGGTTCAAGTGTGTGAAGGGACCAGAGGAGGAGAGCGCTGGTGAAGAGGAGAGGCGCCGTTTTCACTCGTTGGTGGGCAGCCTCATGTACGCGGCGGTCAACACTCGACCGGACGTCGCGTTTGCTACCGGGCAGCTGGCAAGGGTTGTGCAATGCCCTAATGAGGAGCAGGTAGCAGCTGGAATGAGGGTGGCCAAGTACCTTGGCCAAACACCGACTATAAAGCTTTGTATCTCTTTGCTACTATCAACTTATCTTGTTCTCACCTTCCCGTATCACCCCGGATAAAAGCGCGGGTGCGTTTATAATAAAACAGTGTTATTTAGGGGGGTGTGCTTCTAATTGAGTCATTTTTATAAGCACATGCGCCTATATAATGACATATACAAATTTATGATTTTAAGACACCAAATTGCATATTTCGCTCTTGCCATTTCAAGCGAGTCGAAACATTTCGCGTCACAAAACAGTTTCCCTTCCAGCACAGAGAGGCCAAGATGCGACACTTTGCAGCCATGCCAGCACATCCTGACAGGTAGCGCAGCCAGTCAGGTCTTCGAGAGTCAAGCTACGCGAAAATGAGATTGCACTCGCTTAAAAAATGAAATTCGCTACCGCTTTGAACTGAGCTTTTATTTTAAAATTGTACATGCGCTTATAATAAGTTAAGTTTTCAAGGGTGTGCGCTTATAATTGAGGATCGGTCATAAGCGCATAGCTGCAGATAGAAGCGCATGGGCTTATCATAGGCCTGCGCTTTTATCGGGGGTGATACGGTACCATTGCAAGGTGGGTGGTTCAACAAGTTCACTCAAAGACGCTTCCGCTAATACATCATTACCCTGAGCCTTTAATCTTGAAAACTGATCCTAAGGGCTTTCCTAAGCCCAACATAGTGCAGCTGACCTACAATGTTGGAAAGTCATTCTCCTAAGTGCTGGCTGGGTATACGGTATTTCTTTTGCCCCTTCAATGCAACCCTAGTTTGAAATTGCAGAAATATAGATGGCATCAGAAAGGATTCAGTTTCCACCGCCTCATAGAACCAAGCTATATCGCACAAAACCCGCTACACAGCTGGTCATCTGGTTTTGCTGTTAGTGCCGCAGCTGCCCTGGTGGTCGTTGCTCCCTGGCGTGAACGTTCTGTTACCACCTGAATAAATGGAGTCAATTGGACGGATCTGACACATGGCCATACGTTTTTGGTGCTTAGCGACCATTACAGCTACAAGCCAGCTGACCGCCACACAAGACATGACAATCTGGTAGACATATCTCTTGGTCTCAGTATTGTTTGTCGCGTGTTGACGACTCCGCCCAATCGCTCTCAGGTATCTCGTCTCTTCCGGCTTCTGGACTGTCGAAGTTAACAATCTGTGCTATCCAAGCCCAGCCTGACAGATGTCGCGTAGCAAAATTACACTCCTGCCAGCCACCTGAAATTCAGAACAGATAAGTGATCCCGCCCTTCACTGTTAGCGTAACAGAAGCTCAACAAGTACTAAGCTAGTTGAGAGGTCCAAAACTGAGAACGTGGAGAGCACCGGTATAGATCGTCAAGTACCAGCATAGAAACCGAGATACCAGACAGTACCGTTTCTCCCACTCCAGCTCAACATCATCCGAACCGTATTGTAAGTTTTGTTGAAGTTCTATCACCTCTACCAACCGCTGTTCAACTATTTGTAAATCTCAATTAGTTACCCAACCAGCCTCTCACACACCCACCCAAGTTCCATCCTTACTCCCCTTCCAGTACCTCTGCCCCGACTGTCCCTCCCTTTCCTACACCGCGTTTCGCGCTAACGACAACGATTTCTCTCATGCGAAGTCGCTGACGGCGAAGCGTAGTGCCTCTATCAGATCCCGACGCTAGCTCCTTGCGAATTCTTCGATAGGTTCCTAAAATCCGCACTACTAACAGGCATCGCAGGCGTCGCACTCGTCGAATACCCTAGAGTTGTCGTCATAAGCAACAGGAGCCATGGCGTATCGCAAGCGCGTCGCGATATGGATAGGGATAACCCTTCTCGCCTCCACATTATTACTTATTGCGGACGGAGCGGCTGGCGGCAATGCGAATGGTGGCGGCAATACGAATGGTGGCGGGTCGACGAAAAATACAGGCACCTCTAGCAGCGGGACCACTAGCAGCGGGACTACTAGCAGCGGCACCACTAGCAGCGGCACCACTAGCAGCGGTACCACTAGTAACGGGAATACCAAGAACAACGCAAATACTGCGGCTGCCGGGAATACCGCTAGTAACGGAAACACTGCCAGCAACGGGAATAGCCAGAGCAATGGAAATTCAGCGTCTGCGGGGAATACTGCCGGTAGCGGATCCTCTGCTAGTAACGGGAATACGCAGAACAACGGAAATACTGCGGGTGCCGGGAATACTGCTAGTAACGGAAATGGAAACACTGCCAGTAACGGGAATACCCAGAACAAGGGCAGCACGGTATCTAGCGGCCCTCCAGCATCCCCATCTTCAACGTCTACGTCAAATTTTCTGTCTCTGCCGGTCAACGGGTGCACTCCGTCAGCTTGCCAGAATCCGTCACTGGGATTCTACAAGGGCACGTTTCAGCAGGCGTCGAATGCGGCTGCAGTCCAAAACATGAACTACGGCGAATACGTACGTTGCGGGCAGTTTTCGCTGTAGCGTTTATCGATGCTGTTCCGTGTGTATATCGAGCGCAGTTGAGGGTTTCACTTCGCAAATCACGAATTCACGCAGTTCATAGCTCTCCGATTCAGCGTGTGATGAGTCGATTTTTAAGTCAACAATCATTTTTGAATCGGCTCTCCGAATCCTCCTTGACCCTCCTCGATGATTTATGTATCCTGCAATCCTTTTCCACTTGTTTCCTTTACCTTCCTCTCGTCTCGCCCTCTCCTCCTGCCCCGCCTTTTTGGCCCTCCAATCCCCTTCCATCCCTCTTTCCTCCCCACTCCTCCCCACTCCTCCCCTCTACTCTTATCAGATCTACGGCACGCGAATCAGCTCCGACCTTGCCAAGTCATCAACTGACGTGCGTCACGCTTCCTTCAACTCACCCCTTCGTCTTTCCCTTTCTTCCCTCTCCCTCTCTCCCTCTCTCCCTCTCTCCCTCTTTCTCCCTCTCCCCCCCCCCCCCCCATCAGATATACGGCACACGAATCAGCTCCGACCTCGCCAAGTCATCTACTGACGTAAGTCGCGATTGCGTAACCGCGTGCCGAGCCGCGTACCGTTTCGCCGTCCCTTCCGCCTTCCCTTCCGCCTTCCCTTCCGCCTTCCCTTCCGCCTTCAATTTCGCCTTCTCGTCAGACGTTCCCGCCCCCAACCTTCTCTCCCCCTTCACTCTCCCCTCTCCCTCCCCTTCCTCTCTCTATTATTCTCGTCCCCCTCTTTCCCCCCCTCCTCCCCCCCCCTCCCCACCTTCTCGTCGTTTCCGTCACGCCCTTGCTTCCGTCAATTTCATTTCGCATTTCGCCCTCTGTTAATCTCGTCGCCCCTGCCCTCCCCCTTCCCCCCCCCTCTCCCCCACTTCCCCCCCCTCTCCCCCACTTCCCCCCCCCTCTCCCCCACTTCCCCCCCCTTCCCCCTCCCCCTCCCCCTCCCTCCCACCCCGCTCTCTCCCCCTCCTTCCCCTCTCTCACGCCCACACACCTTCACGCCCTTGCTTCCTTCGGTTTCATTTCGCTTTTCGCTTTTCACTCTGCACTCTCTCTCCCCTCCTCTGCTTCCCACTCACCAATCCTCTTCCCCTCCTCTCCTCCGCTGTTCTCTCCTCCCCTCCCCTCCCCTCCCCTCCCGTCTCTCCCCCTCCCCTCTCCGCATTCCCCCCTTGCCCCCTCGTGCCCCCGCCCCCCCGCCCCTCCGCTCTCCTTCCGCCCGCCAGGCGAAGACCTTCCCCGACTGCTGCACGGACTGCGCCAACACCGCGGCCTGCCACTACTTCCAGTTCTACACTCCAGAGTAGGTCTTTCTACGCAATCCATCGCTCTGCACCGCTCATTCACCCTTTGCACCTCTCTGCACTGCTTTACACCGCATTGCACCGCAATCTGCCGCACTCCCTTGCTTCGCTGCACGAACTGCGCCAACACTGCGGTCTGCCGCACTCCCGCTACGCACTCCACCACAATCCACCGCACTCTAACGCACTCCCTCCATCGCGCTGCTCCGCTCTTCACAGCTCTCCACCGCATTGCGCCACAATCTGCCGCACTCCCTTGCTTTGCTGCACTGACTGCGCCAACACCGCCGCCTGCCACTATTTTCAGTTCTACACGCCTGAGTAGGTTCCGTACGCAGCTCCATCGCTCCGTACCGCTCTGCAGCGCTTTGCACCCACTGCACCGCTCTCCACCGCTTGCACCGCAATCTGCCCCGCTCCCGTTGCTTCGTTGCACGGATTGCGCCAACACTGCGTCTCGTCCTCTAGAAACCGCAACCCCATTTTTCCCCTCTCCTTCTCTTCCCCCTCACTCTCCCTAACCCTCATTCACCCCTTCAGCTCCATTTCTTTCCCCCCTACTTTCACCTCTTCCACTTCCTCGGCACCTGTGCCCTTTTCCCTCGCCCATCATTTCCCCCACTCGCTCGTCCCCCCTGACTCCCCTCCTCTCCCCCCTGACTCCCCTCCTCTCCCCCCTGACTCCCCTCCTCTTCCCCCTGACTCCCCTCCTCTCCCCCCTGACTCCCCCTGACTCTCCTCAGCCTGTCCCTCCCCCACCATCCCAGTTCCATCTTCCGCCCCTGGCGTACAGAAGCAGCGCTTCCTTTCTCCTCGGCACCTGTACCCCCCTCCCTAACAATTTGCTTCTCTCTCCCCCTTCCCCCATCCTCCTTTCGTCCCCCATTCCCCCCCCTTCTTCCTCCTCCCCCTCTTCGTTTCCCCCTTCAGCTCCATTTCTTCCGCCCCCGGCGGACAGAAGCAGTGCTTCCTGCTCTCTGAGGCGCCGGCTGGCCTGGCGATCAGCGGGCCTCTCAGCTAGTAAGTGCCGCCGCTAACCATCTAATTATTTATTCGATTTCGTTAATGAGCACTTGTGCTCTCTGAGGCGCCGGCTGGACTGGCGATTAGTGGGCCTCTCAGCTAGTAAGTGCCGCCGCTTACCCTTTTCTTTATTCAACCTTTTGTATTTCAGGTGTACAATTTTTTCGAAGCCCATCCCCCACTCTTCCTTCACCCCTCTCCATCCCCCTCCCCACTTCATTATTTTTATTGAGTCACTCATTTTTTCTTTTTTTTCTTTTTTAAATTCATGCAACTCCATGTAGCTTCCGGCATGCAATCATCCTTGCTGTTACTTTTGTGCCGAATTCTTATTATTATTATCGTCTCTCAATACAATCGCATTGTGTAGAGGATCTTTTACAGCCTTTCCGCTTCCCTCAATGCGTTGTCTATCCTGCCTCTTATTACCCTACCCTCCCTCTTTCAGTGTTGGCGGTTTCTGCAACCCCCCTGCTTCAGCCACCCAGCAGCAGTCCCCCTCAACCACCTCCTCCGGCTCCTCCTCCTCCTCCACCTCTTCCTCGTCCTCCTCCTCTTCCTCCACCACCACTTCTCCGACTGTTTCTGTGACCTCTCCCCCTCCTCCCGGCGTGAAGGGCGATCCGCATTTCGTGGGGTGGGACGGAGTGCATTTCGATTTCACCGGCCAGCCCGGCCACAGCTACTGCATGCTGTCCGACAACAACGTTCACGTCAACATGTATTTGGATGGTTACACGGAAACCAGCGCGAAAGGCGTCAAGGAAACGCACTCGTGGATCAAGGGTCTCGGATTTATCACGCCTAATCATAAGCTCGCGCTGTTCGCGAAAACGAGCGCGAGTCCCTCGCGAAACGGCGGGTATATGAAGCGGATTGTTCTTGACGGCCGGGAGTTTAATCTGACGGAGGGGACCAAGTACGGGACGGCTGACGGGGAAATCGAGATTGAGTTTGACGAAGCCGGGAGGAAAGAGGGAGATGAGGAGTCAGACGTGTACACTGTATCTGTCCGCGATACGTTGAAGATTCTCCTTCGCATGCGTCCGGAAATTGGGGGAGTTCGACGTCCCGAGGATTCGTTTATCCACTTCTCGATGGAGATTTTAGACGAGCAGCTGTCTACACGCACGCACGGAATTCTCGGCCAAACACTGTACAATCTGAACAACCCCGAAGCGGCTCCTACTGGGTATGATGTGGAGTACAGTGGGGTGGTTTGGGCGTGGCAGGTGGTGGGTGCTGACGCGGAGAATTACATTCAGGGGACCCCTTCGGATTACGTTACCAGCCACCTGCTGACCTCGGATTGCCGTTTCTCGAGGTTCTCCCGCCGGGGTTTGTTCCATTCCGCCCTCTCCCTTGGCTGCTGGCGCAAGGGATTCGTGTGCTGAGCTGGAAGGCTTTCTCGTGTTCTGATTTGGGACTATCTGGTGTGCTGAAGTGGCACGCCTGGTTTTATTGACGGGCTATCTTGATGGTTCTTCTGTGTTTGGTTCACCAAATGACAAGTGAAAAGCAACACATGGGGAGGCGGTTTAAAGACCTACAATGGGGGTGTGGGTGTGCAACACACCTTAGAACGTCTTCCTCTACTCTTCCTTTCCAACTATGGTGGCCTTGATTAGTAGCTACCTCTCTGCAGTATGCCATCAGATGGCAACCACATGCTTGGGTTGTCATGGTCGTTTGGGAAACGCTGGTCGGGGCCCCTAAACTTATGCTGCTTGTTTGGATGGGTGTGGTGCAGTTCATTAGAGGTGGGTGTCCTGATTCAGGCTTCATGTTATTTGTTGACATTTATTTATTTGATTGCTATTGCTGTTACTCACTAGGTTGCATGGCTGGAGGAACAATAAGCATACCAGTATGGATGCAAGTGGTGGCTCTGCTGGTGCTTGGTTTCTGGGCTGTTGTTTTCACGGATTTCCTAATTAGATGCCCCTTAAAGCCCGAGTCTAGAATGGTAAGGGCAACTTCAAGATTCTTGAGCTTGCGTTCGTCGAGAACAGGGTAACCAGGTTCGGAAAGCTGATCTCTCGCGACTCACCGAGAAGGGAGCTGGTGGGCCAGAAGGTGATTGGCCAAATGGCCCACAGCAAAAACACCGACGAGCCTCGCGAGAAACAAACAAGGACAAGTACCACTGTTCACACTTTCACAACTTGAAACTCGAGAAAACCTTTCTAGACTCGTAGCATAGTGGCCTCCATAGCCCTAGTTCTCATCAGTAGCCAGCATAGATACGCCCATCTCCCTGCCCTATGCTAAGACGTTAGTAGCACACAGAGATGAAAATTCCCGGCGACTTATTTCGCGCATAACAAATCCGATCTCGTAGCCATGAACAAAGACAGGACCCTCAGATTGATCACCACCGTGAGAATCACTCGTCGCCACTGAAGGTATCCCAGTCCGCACTCAATGCCGGTCCGCAATCACTCAAGGCCCGCCCTCACTCCCGTCAAACTCTCTCTCCCGTCGCGCTCTCACTCCCATCGCTCTCTCACTCCCACAACGCTCTCACTCCCGTCGCTCTTTACTCCCGTCGCTCTCTCACTCCCGTCGCGCTCTCACTCCCGTCGCTCTCTCACTCCCGTCGCGCTCTCACTCCCGTCGCTCTCTCACTCCCGTCGCTCTCTCACTCCCGTCGCGCTCTCACTCCCGTCGCGCTCTCACTCCCGTCGCTCTCTCACTCCTGTCGCGCTCTCACTCCCGCCGCGCTCTCACTCCCGTCGCTCTCTCACTCCCGTCGCGCTCTCACTACCGTCGCTCTCTCACTTCCGTCGCGCTCTCACTCCCTTCGCTCTCTCGCTTCCGTCGCGCTCTCACTTCCGTCGCTCTCTCGGTGACTGTCGCGCTCTCACTCCCGTCACCCACGCACGTCGCTCGCACATGTCGCTCACACGTGACACACACGACTCACTAGCACATGTCGCTCATATCTGCTCCTCTCCCCCTCTTCCCCCTTTGCGCCCCTCCCCGTTTCTCCTCTTACCATCTTCTTGTGTCACTCACACACGTCACACACGACATGCTCACACATGTTCCCATCTCCCCTCTCCTCCCTTTCCCTCTCCGCTCCTCTCCTCCCTTCCCTCTCTTTCCCCCTCCTTCCCTTCTGTGTCTTCGCCTCGCCGCCCCTCCCACTCATCCCCTCTCCTTCCTTTCCCTCTCGTCTTTTCTCCTTCCTTCCATCTGCCCATTCTCTTTCCTCCTGCCTTACTCACTCCCGTCTGTTACCCACATCAATCCTGTTAATCATTCCAGTCACTTGCTTTCCTCACTGTCCCACTCCTCCCTTACCTCTCTCACACCCCCTCCCTCTCACACCTCTTCCGTCTACCACTACTGCAACTGCCGTGCATCCCCGTGACGCAGGGTGCAGGTGATGGCGGCGTGTTTGCGTGGCTATGTGGCTTTGTCAATGTTGGGGGAAGGGGGGAAATGGGAGGCGGAAGGGAATGGGAGACGTCGCCCACGTCGCTCCCGTCACTCCCTTCCCTTCGGCCCCGACCCTCTCCGCCTCTCGCCCCTTCCCTCGTCGTCTCTCCCCTTTCCCTTTCCCCTATGTCCTTTCATGCGATTTTCCCTTATACCCTCCCTCCCTACCTCTATTGTCCGTCCCACCGTTCCTCCCCCTTGTTTCCCTCCTTTTCCGCCCGTGTCCTGCCCTCTGTTGCCCCGATCCCCATGCCCTATACCCCATGTCTCTCCCTCCCTTTGCCCCATGCCACATTCCCCCTGCGCCATGCCCCCATACCCGTACACCATACCCCATGCCCCATACTCTCTTTGCCTCTTCTCTTCCAATCAATCCCCCTTACTTCGGTTCACCTTTAGGGGGGCGGGAGGGGGGCAGGAGGGGGATGGGATGGGGGATGGGAGGGGGGCGGGAGGGTGGATGGGAGGGGGATGGGAGGGGGATGGGAGGGGGATGGGAGGGGGATGGGAGATTGATGGGAGGGTGATGGGAGGGGGATGGGAGGGGGGATGGGAGGGGGGATGGGAGGGGGATGGGAGGGGGATGGGAGGGGGGATGAGAGGGGGGGCGGGAGGGTGGATGGGAGGGGGATGGGAGGGGGGCGGGAGGGGGGATGGGAGGGGGGCGGGAGGGGGATGGGAGGGGGATGGGAGGGGGATGGGAGGGGGGATGGGAGGGGGATGGGAGGGGGGTGGGAGGCAGATGGGAGGGGGATGGGAGGGGGATGGGAGGGGGGATGGGAGGGGATGGGTGGGGGGTGGGAGGGCGATGGGAGGAGGGCGGGAGGGTGGATGGGAGGGGGATGGGAGGGGGATGGGAGGGGGATGGGAGGGGGGATGGGAGGGGGATGGGAGGGGGGTGGGAGGGGGGTGGGAAGGGGGTGGGAGGGGGATGGGAGGGGGGTGGGAGGGGGATGGGAGGGGGATGGGAGGGGGATGGGAGGGGGATGGGAGGTTGATGGGAGGGGGATGGGAGGGGGGATGGTAGGGGGATGGGAGGGGGATGGGAGGGGGATGGGAGGGGATGGGATGGGGATGGGAGGGGGACAGGAGGGGGATGGGAGGGGGATGGGAGGGCGATGGGAGGGGGATGGGAAGGGGATGGGAAAGGGATGGGAGGGCGACGGGAGGGTGATGGGAGGGGGACAGGAGAGCGATGGGCGGGGGACGGGAGGGGGATGGGAGGTCGACGGGAGGGGGAAGCGAGGGCGACGGGAGGGAGAAGTGAGGGCGATGGCGGGGGAAGCAAGGGCGATGGGCGGGGGGAGCTGGTGCGACGGACGGTGGATGCGAGATATCGACGGACGGGGGAAGCGAGGACGACAACGCTCTAATTTCTCATCTCGCACAATATCTCCGTGCTTCACACACGCATTCGAGCCACATTCCCTACCTCGGTCCTCGGATTCCTCGCAGCATATGTTCTCACATGTCATACCTTGCTATTTTACCCTGGATACTTAATAGTTTCCTAAGGGCGCCTGTGGTCTGTTTAGAAGTTCAAGATAAAGTTCGAACTTTGGGTGGTTACCCTATTCGCAAATTTCGCGAAGGGTGCTTCGCGAACCAAGCATTGTATGGGCTCTGCAAAAGTTCGAGTTTGAAATATGAACTTGACTCGAGTCGGAGGCGCGAACGTGCGTGCGCACGTTCATGCGAGCGTGTGTGATTTGCAGCACGTCCGAACAGCTGGCGAAACGGGCGAGCGCTTCGCCAGTGCATGAAGTTGCACAACGAAGACACCCCACAATTCGTGCACACAGTTGTAGCCACGTGTCCAGCATACAAGGTGTTGCCATGGGGGCTATTTGTACCCTGGTTACACACTCGGCGCGGAAGGTGAGTTGGAGCTCTAGGTCCTTGTAAACCGAGGCGCAAAATGTTGACGTGGCGCACCGTCAAGACGAGCGAACCGGGTAACCTATGATGTTGACGTGCGGCTCGGCTCGTTTTTACAAGTTCGAATTGTCAGAATATTATCTTATGTTCTAGCCTGTAGTGGGGTGCTCTATAGCGAGTACAACCCTTCTAGGGTTTGCTATTTGTATCCTCATTCTTGCTAGTTCAATCCTCTTTCTTTCTTCAAACTTTGTCATGCTATCAGAGCAGGTCGATCCCCTTGGATCGATCCTGTGGGTGGTTTACCACCTCGCTTCCGCTGCTATTTTTCCTTCCCGCCGTGCGCCCCGAGGCGCGCGGCGGTTTTCTGCCCGCCGTGCGCCCCGAGGCGCGCGGCGGTTTTCTGCCCGCCGTGCGCCCCGAGGCGCGCGGCGGTTCTCTGCCCGCTGTGCGCCCCGAGGCGCGCGGCGGGCGTCTGCCCCGTCGTTCGTCGCGTCGCCTTCTGGAGGCGCCGCGACGGGCGACGGGGACCCGTCGCGGCCCCGCTGCCCGACCCGTCGCGGCCGCCCGTCGCCCTACCTTCGCGGCCCACCCGCCGCCCTACCTTCGCGGCCCACCCGCCGCCCTACCTGCGGCCCGCGAGCCGCCCTACCTGCGGCCACTCGCCGCCCTACCTGCGGCCCACCAGCCGCCCTACCTGCGGCCCTACCGCCGCACTACATGCGGCCCGTCGCCCTACCCGTCGCGGCCCCGGCCCCGTCCCCGCCTTCCCCCCCCTTTTTCCCGTCGCCCGTCGCGGCTCCTGAGGGGGCGAGCGGTGGGGTGTCGGGTATGGGGGTGGCCGGTGTGCCTTCTTCCCTTTGCTCCTCCTCCTCCTTCGTCTCCCACTGCTGCAGCTGTCGCTGAGGGGGGTGGTTGTGTGGGAGACTGGGGTTTAGGGTTTAAGGGGGGTGTGTGGGAGTGGAGATAGCGGTGTAGCAGCGGGTGCGTGTCGGGGGGGTGGGACTGTTTGGGGAAGCTGCATGGAGGTTGCCGTACTGTTGTCCGCAGCACCTGTAGTCCGGGGCGCTGTCCCGGTAGCCCAGTGAGCTAGACTTCTACGCCAGCCGCCCGTGGGTCCGTTGCTCGTCTGCCGCTACTTTAGCCGCGGGGCCTGTTACTCCTGTAGTCCGGGCGCTTAGTCCGGTAGCCGCTGTGCCAGTCTGCCTCCTGTTGCCCGTGTGTCTGCAGCTTCAGCCGTCGCCTCCTATCTCCTCTCCCCTCACTCTCTCTCCTCCTCCTCACTTGCCCGTTGTGACTACCACTAGCTTTGCTCATAATTGTGAACTCTAAACTATTTCTTCTTGAACTTGTGCTCAGATTGTGTAGTGACATTGTGATCCACCCTGAGCTTGTACTGCTTTGCCTGCTCTGCTGATTACACCCCACTTTGGCTATGGGGGTGTGTCAGAATGTTATCTTATGTTCTAGCCTGTAGTGGGGTGCTCTATAGCGAGTACAACCTTTCTAGGGTTTGCTATTTGTATCCTCATTCTTGCTAGTTCAATCCTCTTTCTTTCTTCAAACTTTGTCACGAATGTCGGGGTTCGACCTTGTATGTGTGTGTGATTTTTTACAGTGTGGTAAGCCCGATGTTCGAACTTCGATAGAAGGAAATTCGAACTTCTTTCGTTGTAAATTCGAAACTAAAATTCGCCCTAAAAACATAAACTTTTACAAATTTCAAAGACCTCACGCGCCCTAACACCGATGCTCTATCAGGTCTTACGCATGTTTTTCTTAGGTTGCTCAAAGAGAATGCTTTTGGACAGGGCGGAAATCCGGGTCAGGCCCTCAGATATTAGGATAAGTTACCCGGATTCTCCTGAATTCAGGATAGGTGTCATGTGCTTCTCCTGAAAAAACAGCATAAGGGAATTACTTGTCCTGTAAAATCAGTAAAACTGTTATTTTGCGTACTGAAAACTCAGAATAAGCTGTAGTTTCAGCCCTGACGACTCAGGATAGTGTCGATTCTCACCCTGGAGCGAGATGTACTGCAAGAAAAATCTCCTGAATTCCAAGGCCTAAAATATATGCGGGCGAGCACCTCAGGCAGAGGAGCCAGCAAGTTTCGAGCGTACGCTCTACTGCATAACAGATTACACCCTGTTTCTCGCTACACTGAACCGCGGAAACACTCTGAACAGTGGAACTATTCCTTGGACGTATTCGAAAAGTTTACAATAACCGTCTTTAGGAGGCGGGTTATCCGAAATTCTGTTAACCTGGGTACCCTACCGAGCCATATTAAAAGTTCAACCGACCGTCTTTCTTAGAAGCTAGGTAGGAACGATTGGTGATTAGGTCAAGGTTGGGGGTACAAAACTAGAGTGTCGAGATGATTTTGTGTACCCCCTAAGGCTAGCTCCAATATAGCCTAGATAATAACATGCATATGTTTTGACACACCCCCATAGGCGAAATGGGGGATAGCCAGAGCAAGCAATGGTCACAAGACCAGTCAAGAGAAGAAACAAAACACAGCTCAGGGTGGATCACAAAGTCACCACACACACTGAGCACAAGCCAAGAGCCACAAGGCCAGTTCACATGCACACGTATATATGAAACAACAACAGCACAGTGATCGCTACCTAGAAGAACAAGCATGCAGGAATGTATATATATAGATCACAGTACAAGCAGAGACTACAGCAAGTGAGGAAACGTAGGCACAAGGCCCAACAAAGTACAAAACCGCTGATGGTCACCAGACGGAAGTGCCTTGGTGAATATATCAGCAGTGTTGGCCCGAGTGGCCACGTGAGCAAGGCGAAGCTGACCCCGCTGCTGCAACTCTCGAGCCAGGAAGTAACGCAGAGCGATGTGCTTCATTCTGTGCTCCAGTCTGTGCTCCTGACACAAGGCAATGGCGGACTTGTTGTCTACGTACAGAACTGGAGGAGAACGAGGCCGCTCTCCCAGGTCGGTCAGCAGGTAGGTGAGCCAGCGTAACTCCTGTGCAGCCATGGCTGTGGCATAGATCTCAGCCTCACAACTGGAGCTGAGAACTGAAGACCAGCGTATAAACCGCCAAGAAACAGAGCCGGAGCCAAGGCTGAACGAAACTGATGACCGCAGTGTAGCCTGGTCGTTAACCCAAGAAGCGTCTGAGTGCCCAGTGAGGACAACTGGACTCTGCCCTCCAAGCACGAGCCCCATGCTCGATATACTGCACAACTAGCGCAGTACCCTCTTAGCAGCATCCATGTGCACCTTTCGGTGCCGACCAGGAACCACGTAGCGAGCCAGAAGGCCAAGAGGGTATGCAAGGTCAAGACGAGTGCAGGTCATCAGGTACATGAGGCAACCCACTAGCTCTTGGTAAGGACCACTCGGCTCTACGGACTCGTCCGAAGGTGGAGCTGAGAGCGAGTGACCTGTAGCCAGAGGAGTGGCCTGTGCCGAGAACCAGGTGAAGCCGAAGCGCTGTACGACCTGCTGCACCATGTGTGACTGAGTCAGGGTGATAGTGCGGCGTGCTCTGTCCCGGGTGATGTGCAAGCCAAGGTAACTGCGCAGCTCACCCAGGTCTGAACACGTGTGTCTCTTCTGCAGCTCCGACTTCACTTAGGGCGAGAGCCTCAGTGTCAGCAGTGGCAAAGACCAAGTCGTCGAGGTACACGAGGATGTAGAACGACGGCAGCAAAGTGTTAGTGCGCAGAAACAGCGACGGGTCAGCAGTCGATGGAGTAAACCCAAGAGCCGCAAGTGTCATCCTCAGTGTGTCGTGCCACTCACGTGGCGCCTGGCGGAGACCGTAGAGCGGCCGCCGGAGGCTCCACTGGGTACCAGGAGGGAACGACCCAGTAAAGCCGGGTGGGTGGCACAGCCGGATCTCCTCGTGCAGGCTGCCCTGTAAGAAAGTTGTGCTGAAGTTAAGAGAGTGAAGCTCGTAGTCACGATGAGTGGCAACGTGCAGCAGCACCTGAAGAGTGGTCATCTTTGGGGTGGGGGAGAAGGTCTGGAAAAAGTCAACTCCCTCTCGCTGACTGAAGCCTCAAGCAAGGTAACGAGCCTTGAAGACAGGCGGAGAACCTAGCGGCCGCTTCACCCTGAAAATCCACATGCCGTCGACGATGTTCGCACTGGGAGGGGGAACCTCAT